GGAATTCAATCTGCTTCACCTTCTGCTGACACCAGTATGATTTGTCTCTTCCTCCACCCGTAGATGAGCAGGTCAGGGCGGGCGAGAGGAAATTTGGATCTTTGGGTTGGTCCTTGTCATGTTTTCTCAGTAGATATGTATTTTTCAATTGTAAAGCAGTTGATCAAGGCGGATTCAAAAGGAGGTATTTGATAAATATCATGTTTTTTGTGAAACATGAGCTGGATGAGAAAGCCATTGAAAATGGTGACTTGTTGATATGAATAAAATGACTGCTATGTCTAAATCTTGTTATGATAGATTCACTTTGTTTCTTTCTTTTTTGGCTTTTTCTGCCTTCTGTTCTATGAAGTGTAGAGTAGTGCATTGACATTTACTGCACAAATGCGAATGGTAAATGCAAGTAAGATTAGAGGAAGGCCTTGTGTGGTTTAGGATGTGATGTCTTTGTTCAAAACCAGCAGGCATATGAATGACAAGAATTATATGGTTATATAAAATCTGTAATTAGGATTGTTCATGGTGAATTTGCTCTCTAATTCTGCAGTATATTGGAGATTTTGTTCAAGTTTTACCCAGAAACCCAAGTACTGCTTGCATCTAATAACTATTTTTTAAATGGAAATTGCAGTTGCTTCCATAAGGCAAAGTCCGTTATCTACAAGGGTTTTTTTTGTTTTTGTTTTGGATGGTTGGTTTTTGTATAAATGCGTTTGAAAGTAACGTTTTTAAACATTTCTGTTGAATGTGGATTATTATAAAAAAAATATATCAAAAAGTATAAACAAATGGTGATGCATATTTTTTCTCTTTGTTTCAGAAAAGCCTATGATAAGTAGGGATGTAATGATGATGCACCCCGAACTGGTTGAAAATCGATTCAATTATGTGACGAGTTAAGTCGGTTGATATGTTAAACGAATCGCGAAACAGTTGGTGGAAGGGATTTATATGAATGTATCTCTGAGAGGAACTGACTGTCTTCAGAAACATATAGATGGTGTTTTCTTTTCGTCTTGCCTCTGTATAATGCAGTATTTATTAGTGCAGCATTGCTTTGTTTACAGCGGTAACCATGGAAGCACTTTATCACTGCTGTTCCATGAGCGCCACCTGCTGTCAGAAGTGTGAATCTGCGTCTCATGCAGCCGGTCTGCTTTCATGTACAGTAGGTTTATATAGTGTAATTTCAAAAAGCTAAAGTTAGACCATTGTGTTTTTGCTTCAAATGATGAAATTATACAATTTAATTTAAATCAAGAACACGGATGCAAAAGATATGCGAGGAGAAGAAAAGAGACAATGTGGCTTTGCAGCTCTTCCAGCCAAGGAAGACGCAAACTGCACCCCCTTCACCTCTTCAGCAGACCTTTGCACAGGTTACAGCTTGCTACAGCTCAGACGGATCTGCCAGCCCCTCATCCTACCCAGGTGGTGAGGAGGAAGAAAAAGGCAGTTTGAAGGGATCGTCCTGAGTGAAGGGGGCTCACAGACCTTAACGACCCTCAGCTGTTCAGAGTTCAAGAGCGAACAAGTTCAGATGTTCTGTGGGGAAATCGGAGCCAAGTTGGGCCAAGGGATGCAGAGCAGTGAAGAGAACGAGAGACGGTGCAGTGGTGCTCACCCACCCACTAGTCACAAGCACTTAACATGCTCACAGTTCAATAAAGTTTTCACGGTTTCCCCAACAAATGTTGCAAAACACTTTCAGAACACAGCATAACACCACCTCGGGGAGTCATCGCTCCTCTAAAGGTGGTGAACCACGTAAACTCCATCCGAGTGCTAAGTGTTCGTGCATGTGCAGTACAGGCCACAAACTCGTTTTCAACTTGGCCACACGATGGC